GTGATTTTTTCAAATTTTGAATTCACCGTGAGATTTCGGATCTATGGTGTTTTAGGAAAAGCTTTTATTGGATATTTTTTCGATATTTAACAAAACAATCCACGACATATTGATCTTTTTTATATGTCTGTGAAAAAGCCCGGGGTGGTATATGTCTTTTATCGTAACTTACTATAGGTACACATTTCAATATTTAATATAATGGTTATATATGTAGTTAATGGGGTAACTGAAAACTTCTCATGACGATATTCATCCTCAATAAATAATTAGGTAAATTGTATTCGATGTATTTCACGGCAAAAAATTCAATCCAATATCTTAGGAATTATTGCAAAATTGAAACAGATAATAATCATGAGATGTATTCGGAAAACAGAAAAAAATAGTTGGGAAGTGAACTTAGTACCTATTCCACAAATTTTTAAGAGAATTTTATCAAGGTCCTTATTACTAGTAACAATATGATGTGACACTATGACAGAAAAAAATCAAAAGTCTTTTCTCAAACTGTGAGATACTACCTTCTTTCTAGCAGTCAACGCATGTGCCACTGAAGATGTCAGGAGCAGACAAAACATTTGGTACTACCATTTCTATTCCACCTTGGCTTATTAGGTTGGAGTAACTGATCTCTGATTGTAAGCATAAATGTAATATTGAAGAGAGAATCAACCCAGTGCAAAAATGATATAAAATCACTTGTAGGTTAGAGCTTTCGAATAAATGCATTTGCTGAAATATCCCATCATCCAGGTAATAAAAAATTGATTCAATTTAGGACATGAAAATATTTCAGGAAATAATCTTCAAGGCTAACACCCGACCTAAAAATGTTCACAGACAAATATCCATCTTTTTAATTAAATAAAACTGGCCGATACTTGATGAAAATCCATATTAAAACTAAATGATTCAGTTTATTATATGGTTTTCACTATAAAGGGTTTTACAAAAACCGCGACACGAGTTTCGCTATACAGTAGCTTTCTCAAGCATAATTTAAAACTGAAGGTTACTTCTAAATTACAACCATTTTGTACTATAACCTATTATCTACTCGCACGCTTAATTTCGAATGAATGAATCTACCTGTAAAGGTCAGGTATGAATTCATAAATTTTTCGAAAGTACCGTAAATCTACCTAACTTTTTTTACCTGGAAATGAACAGATTCAATAATGGCGAATTATTCAATTCAGTTTGATCGTTCATAAAATATTGAGAGTTTTTGAATTTGTCCAACAGGTTAAGTTTCAAACCTTTCTTCTGGAAATGTATTCATGGTTGAACTCATTTCCTACTGTGATCAAGTGAGCGGCATGTGTGGAAATTATGTTTCCCTTCTGGAAGCTACATTTGTGTTCCTTTATACGGGCTTTGAACGTTCTTCCAGTTTGACCTATATAAAACATCGGACATGACCCTCATGATAATTTATACACTCCCCATTTTTCTGAATCTGGACTTTCATTTTTGGTATTCCTAATGTGCCTGCCTAAGTTGTTGTTGGTTTTGAGAGCAATATTTAAACTACCTTTTTTTTAAACTATGTTATTTTTGAGCAATACCAATCGAGCAACCATCAATGAAGGAAACCACTTGACATACAAATTTGTAATTTTATCACGATATTTACTTCCATGGAATTGCTGAATTACAAAGTTTTCGTTGAAAACTGTAAATTTATCGATGAAATTTTGAGGTCTTGTGGTATCGTTTTTTTTCATCCTATTGTCATATTCTACTCTTCGAACACCCCTTCTGACCTTATTTAAAATTTTCATTCAATCGATATAAAAACTAGAACGTTACACAATGTATTCGTTTATTCAACTGAATAGAATATCACACGATACATGTCCGGTAGGAGTTATTACGTTTAGTACATATATCATTCATTTGCGAATACCGAAATCCGTGTTAGGAATCACACGCTAAAAGGTAAGACCTCGTTAGTCCTTAGCTCGCACAAGTTTCTCAACTTCTGAGAGTTGTCGTTCGTATGGGGGCGGCAGCTGATTAACGAAAAAACAGATTTTTAGACAGATTTTTGAGTACCTAACAATCATTGTGTTCCTTCGATCAATAGGAATACAAACTAAGCATAGGATGCGTGTGTTTTGCATGTATATTGCTTGTATATAGTTCAACATTTACCCAATGTTGAAAAATTTTGACTATTTCGCGTCAACCATCAATTTCAAAATGGAAATCGGACATGTCTTCCACTTGCCATGTCAATTCACGGTATCCTATTTTCTTAGCAATGCTAACTCATCAATCATTTCCAAACAAAATAAATTCATTCGAATAAATGAAATATCTCACACGCCATCGATTAATTTCCAAAATTGAGATATCCAACCGATTTTCACATACTACAGAATCATGTAAACCAGAATCCTATAATCAAAACATAATCACACCGTGCGAAGATGCCTGACACTGGAAATTCCTATGATTAATTATTATTTCGTCAGAGCGATATCATTAATTTACACGTTGGAAGTGCTGATGGATTAATACCAGAACCATTTTGGGTAATTTGATAACGCGAATGTCAAAAACAAAAGCGGATTGTTGATGACTTTTTGAAATGAACTGTGCTGAGTTTATCACGGTAGATTCAACAATTTATCCCTTGTTATGATTTTCTCTTCTAAAACAACAGGTATTTAAAAAAAACAACTTCATCTATGGTCATGACTCCATCGAAAAATTTTGTTTGATAAACACTAATTATCAGATGTTATCAAACAGTCGAAATGTCCTCATTTTCAAATGGAAGGAAACAAGATATGTTGAAACTTCATCATGAATTTGACAGGAATAGTACGAAAACAGCACAAATTTATTTTTAATTATATCCAGAAAAACGACAGCCCGATAGAACATTATTCGGAATTTTGGAGAAACACTTGAAAGAATGATATTTTGTAGCTAGCTTTTGAATAGGGTAGACCCTACGAACTTCATGAAAACATTATTTGGATTGACGAAAGTACTTTTTCGAACTGTGGTGTTTTCAATGGAAATAATGAGCAAATTTGAAGTGAAAATAATCCACTTCAGAGAAGTCAGACAACAAGTACGGTTTCGTTTCAATGTGTGGGCTGAAATTTATAACGACCGAGTACTTGAACCTCACTTCTTCTCTAGTACTTTGAACGGGAAAACCTATTTTGCATTCTTAAGAAACGAATTCGAAGAATATATGGATACGTTCCCCCCTGTTAATTGTAACAGCTGCTGGTTTCAGCATGACCGGGTTCCTCCACACAATCAAAGAGCTGTTTGCGAATATTCACATCAAAGATTTGTTACGGATTCAATTATACTGATACCTCCTAGTTGACTCATAACTTTAATACCAAAACATTATAAAATATATTGAATCATCCAGGATGGATAATTTGAAGTCACTCGGTGATCTTGCACAACAGAAAAATATCTGAAATGAAGTCATATTGTTAGATGTTGAATCAGCACAAGAAGTACTTTACCTACTGTGAATGCTTTTCTCATTCAAGATACCAGTTCAGTTCATTGTGAATTTCCGAACAGAATAAGAACATTATCTGTTTTATCACCATTCCTCAACTTTCCATTTTCATATAGGTTACTTTGTTATTGTTTGGATATATTTTCAAAATATAACAGAAAGGATGTCATTCATCTTCATTATTCTCAACTTTGATGAAATGTCACTAATATCCCTAGTTTGACCTCCAGAATATATCTCTGTTTTCTTTTCCATTTTATTGTGGGCTTATCAAAGTGGTTTTGATTTTTTATATTCATAGAGGATTTTCCGAGTCTGAAAAATGAAAACTAGTTGTGAAACCATCAAGAAAATTGTCATAGGATTGATATTTCCACCATCCGAAGTGGATTTCGGTTTTCAATTAACCTTAAAAGTTTTCTGACGAAACTCTCTCTGAGACCATCCCCCATCGAAGGTAGGTATTCTGCTGGGACACATTCTGGGGATTATCCTCTAATAAGTGCATTTCGTATATATTAATGAATCCACGGGTTAGTAACTTTTCTGTCTTTTCAGGTCTCTTTTCGTTTACTTTCTAGTTTTAATTTGTCTCCGTACGAATGATATTACCTGCTAGCATGCATGTTTAGAACTTTGCTTTACACCTATCCGCTTGGAGACAGCTTCGACCCTGCTTATTAAATAGAGCTTGCTTGATTTTCTTTGCTAGTTAAAGTACAGACTTCTTTCAATCCTGATTAACTGGACGGACCTTTTATAGAAAGCTATTGTTGGGAATTGCAAAAGGACAACCTCCAAAGGAATAAACAAGTAGGATCTACTTAATTCATTAATTTTGCTCCGCACAACTTTTCCTTTTTTTGACATATAAGGAATATTTCATACCACCAAGGATACTCAGTGAACTCGTGAAAGCAAGTAGTGTTATCTTTTTGGTTAGCACCTAGAACATAGTAAATATTAGTTATCAATTAACCTTATGCATTCAAATTATATCTTCATCATTTTAAATTAAAACCAAATACTCACCAAGACGTCTGTGAACGAATAGTATACACTGTGTCCGTAAAGTATGGAACAAATTCATTTTTAGCTAAACAGGTCATTTTGAGAAATAATCCTGAAACATGTCGACTTTTGATGTTAATTTACCGTATTTTAAAATAATAATCTAATATACAGGGTGAATTACGTTCTAGTAATGACGTCACCGTCATTTTTTTAAATGGAACACCCCCATTTTGTCTCAATTTTCGGATTACTATAGCTGAGCTGATTCCAGAAATGTCTCACATGTTGATTCCAATTGGTACAGGGTGGACAAAAATACAGTAGTTGTGTGTGTGCTAATAAAGTAACGCGTAACATTCTTTATTAGGTAAATTAACAATATTATCAAAAATACTTATTGTCTAGCGGACAGAATATGCTGGAATACATGACTTTATATTAAATGTTCGAACTGCAGCCCTTGCTGTATTTGACAGTAACCCAAACGGTGTACAAATTCTTGTTGAACCTTGTGTATGGTTTCTTGCGTAATATTGTTTATTTCTGTTCGAATTTTCACTTGTACATCTTCAATATTTGCTGGTTTCGTTTTATAAATAACATTCTTCAGATGGCCCCACAGAAAATAATCCAAAGGATTTAAATCTGGTGACCTCGCTGGCCATTCAGTGGGTCCA